AAAAAGGCTGGGCACAGTGGCTCACACCTCTAATCCCAGCACTTTGGAAGCCTGAGGTGGGAAGATCGCTTGAGCCCAGGAGTTGAAGACCAGCCTGGTCAACAAAGCAAGACCCCCGTCTCTACAAACAAATACAAAAATTTAGCTCTGTGCGGTGGTGTGCACCTGTGGTCCCAGCTGCTCAGGGGGCCGAGGTGAAAGATCACTTGAGCCCAGGAGGTCAAGGCCGCAGTGAACTGTGATTACACCACTGCAACAAAATAAATAGATAAAAAAAATAAAAATACTAATACTAGTAACTAATGCACACTGAACACATCTTTGGTGCCAGACACTGTTCTAAGTGCTTTGTGGGTAATAACCCATTGAATCCTCCGAAGTGCCCTGTGAGACAGGCACTATTAACTGTCCATATTTAATACATGCAATTCCAAAATTCATAAGGCGCTAACAACCAGATTTTTTCCAAACTTTGATACCAAATCTCACTTAGCAGCAAAACCCGATCAGAACTCACGTGAAGCTATTTATTTATTTTGAGGCGGAGACTCACTCTGTTGCCCAGGCTGGAGTGCAGAGGCGTGATCTCAGCTCACTGCAACCTCTGCCTTCCAGGTTCAAGTGATTCTCCTGCCTCAATCTCCTGAGTAGCTGGGATTACAGGCACGCATCACCATGCTTGGCTAATTTTTTGTATTTTTAGTAGAGATGGAGTTTCATCATGTTGGCCAGGCTGGTCTTGAACTCCTGACCTCAGGTGATCCACCCACCTTGGCCTTCCAAAGTGCTGGGATTACTGGCATGAGCCACTGCGCCCAACGTGAAACTATTTAAAGCTTTTATTGATCCCACTCGTGACTATCCAAACATTTCACTCTAGAAATTCCCATGTTTCAAGACCACTAAAATGTTATAAAGCCTATGGTGTTACTACGTTTCTAATATCAGAATGCCAAAATGCATCAGGCCCCAAGGGTTTCACATGCACGATTATGAATTAGGCCCAGGGAGGGACAGTGACTTGCCCAAGGTCACACAGATGTGGACAGTAGAGTTGGGATTAGATCCAGGCCCTCCGGTGCCAGAGTCCTGGCTCTTGACCTGTGACGCCAGCTGCCACCCGTCAGGGCTGGCACTAGGGTCCATAGGAGGGGCAGTGCTGGGCCAGGGCGTGGGAGGCAGGATCTCACGGAGTCCTCACTCTTGATCACCACGCCAGGTGCACTGAGGCCCAGAAGGCCACCCTGCCATCGGATCACATTTGTGAAGCCCAGATAGTGATGTGTGCCAGGGTGAAGGGGACAGATGCCGGGGAATGCCGTGTTGCAGTAGGGTGGAAGCCGAGAACCCCAGGCAGCATCCTGTGTTATCACAAAGATGCTGAAGAGTCAGGTTTCAGAGTATGTGCTCCAAAAGAAAAAAGAGCAAGAGGCCGGGCGCGGTGGCTTAGGCATAGTCATAAAATTATAATAATTTATGTTGGTGCTGTCCAATAGAAATAGAATGTGAACCACTGGTGTAATTTGTGGTTGTTGTTTGTTTTGTTTTAAGATGGAGTCTTGCTGTGTCGCCCAGGCTGGTGTGCAGTGGCGCAATCTCGGCTCACTGCAACCTCCACCTTCTGGGCTCAAGTGATCCGCCTGCCTCAGCCTCCTGAGTAGCTGGGATTACAGGCATGCACCACCATGCCTGGCTAATTTTGTATTTTTAGTAGAGACGGGATTTCGCCATGTTGGCCAGGCTGGTCTCCAACTCCTGACCTCAGCTGATCCACCAGCCTCAGCCTCCCACAGTGCTGATTACAGGCATGAAAGGCTCACTGTTCAGAGAAGGAAGATGGCTGAGCGAAGCCACATGACAAGGAAGTGGCAGAGCCAGGGTTTGAACTCAGGCCTCAGCACCCTCCACGCCCGCCTCCTCCCTGCAGCTCCCTGCGCCTCTGCAGCACAGAAGGTGCCTGTTGACTCCCCCAGCAGGCAGCTCCGGAGGTGAGCATCACACACCATTTCAGAGACAGGGGACCAGGGCTCAGTGAAGTCAAGTGACTCAGCAGGGTCGCCGGCCCCGGGAGGCAGGCAGCTAGGGCTCCAGCCACAGCATCTCCTTTCCAAGTCTCCCTGATGCCTCTGGACAGAGGACCGAGATGACAGTGTGGTCGTAAGCG